AAGACTTATTTCCTAAGCTGCAAGGAGTTGATAAGCTCAGAGCTCAAATTTCTTTTGTCAAAAAACTGGTTTTCTGAAAAACATTTAAAATAAACTCTACCAAAACAATGGTGCCAGAAACTTTAGTGAATTATTGTTATGGCACAGAACTTGAATATAATCCTATACAAAGGAAAGGGCCTCTAAAATCAATACTCTGAAATACAAATTTTATAAACTCCACCTCAAACAAACTATTACAGTATTAAACTCTCCAATAACAACCACTTTCACAAAAAAATCTCAAGTTCCTGTCAAATTTAACATGTACATATATGTAATTTATATGAGGTACTTAAAAGCATTATTGTAAATCACCACTGTTTTATAACCTGTACTATTAAACATTCCCAAACAAAACTTACAAATAAAAAAGTATACACAGACTTCAAACTAGTAGATATCATTGCAGCAACATATAGTATAAAAAAACAGTGCAAAAATAATAAAACCAAAAAGTAAAATGTTTCTCCTTAGTTCATACAAGCTATAAATAGTATTTAATAAATTGGCAAGTTCAACACGTGCATAAAAATTAGCTTATAAGAACCAATGTTTCACTTCTGACTAAACCAGAATCAAGGTAACCAGGTTTGTTTGTAAGAACTAATGTTTCACTTCTGACTAAACCAGAATCAAGGTAACCTGGTTTGTTTGTAAGAACTAATGTTTCACTTCTGACTAAACCAGAATCAAGGTAATCATGTTTGTTTGTAAGAACTAATGTTTCACTTCTGACTAAACCAGAATCAAGGTAATCATGTTTGTTTGTAAGAACTAATGTTTCACTTCTGACTAAACCAGAATCAAGGTAATCAGGTTTGTTTGTAAGAACTAATGTTTCACTTCTGACTAAACCAGAATCAAGGTAATCAGGTTTGTTTGTAAGAACCAATGTTTCACTTCTGACTAAACCAAAATCAAGGTAACCAGGTTTGCTTGTAAGAACTAGACGGCACTTAAAACATAATGTCATTAATGACAAAAGTAACTACAGTAATCAAACTCTTATGAATTGAAACTCATCTAGGCTTTCTAATTTTATTGACAGTTTCAACTTATGGATACTACTATACCTACTTTACTATTTACCAAACACTCAACATCAATACTTACAGTTTTAGGGTTGAAAGCCCTTTGAGATTTACTTTCAACAAAAAACTTACTGCGATATAAAATACATTTTGCAGTGAAAAAGCTTTCACAGTTTTAATATTTTATGTTTATTGTTGTAGTATTGAATTTATCTATATAAAAAATCAGTAGTAACTACTTAACTACTAACATTTTAATCAGATATTTTCAACAAAGATAGAACACTAAGTTATGTCTAAAAATAAACATTATAAAATACAGCACCTGTAGTAATATGTTATATATCCATCCTATTGTATAAAAATACAGCAATTTATTTTATAACATGTACTCGACCAAGTTATGCATACGACCACCTCCATACATATCTTTCAATATCTTGAGGCACTAAAACATTTATGTTTACATACACACAAGCAGGCTATAAAGACAGCAAAAATTATTGTTCAAATCAACCATGAAACAAATGGAAAACTTAAGGATTTTGTGTGTTAAATAACACTGTTACCATCATTACCTGCAAGAAAACTTGTTCTTTAACATGTCACAAGATAACTTCAGTCTAAACTACTTACTGATACATGTATATGTCAGTAACAAAAACCACTTGAGAAACATATCAAGGTATTAGAAAGTCTCACAAGCAATGGGGAATGGTTTATAGTTTACAACAACTCCAAGAAATGAGCTAATGCTGAGCCACAGATTAGGTAAAAACTACATAAATATAGTATTAAATACACTATTAAACAACATAAGCAAAGTAATAAACATCCAAAACATTATGAAACCCTACAAATAAAGAATAGAAATAGCTGCTGTCCTAAGAGTAATTTGAGCCACAACTCCAATGTGTACAAAATGGAGATGTTTTCAAGCACCTAAGTTAGTGTCTTACAAATGCAACAGTATAAATAATACTATGTTGTGTGTGTGTGATACAAAAAATATAGTGAAATAGGGAACATGCTAATGCTCAGTAATGTCTTTATGATGTAAGATAAACATGCTGGCATGTATACTTTCAAACACCTATTACGACGGTATGCATAGTAATTCAAACTTTTGTTTGATTTTTGATGTAAAGAATATTATCTATCATGACTTTAATTTTACATTTTACACTGGTAAACCAAGGAAGCATAATTATTACAACAAACACAAAACCTACTCATGCCTAGTTGCAGGACGTATAATTATTACAACAAGCACAAAACCTACTCATGCCTAGTTGCAGGACGTATAATTATTACAACAAGCACAAAACCTACTCATGCCTAGTTGCAGGACGTATAATTATTACAACAAACACAAAACCCTACTCATGCCTAGTTACAGGACGTATAATTATTACAACAAACACAAAACCTACTCATGCCAAGTTGCAGGACGTATAATTATTACAACAAACACAAAACCTACTCATGCCTAGTTACAGGAAGTATAAGTATTACAACAAGCACAAAACCTACTCATGCTTAGTTACAGGAAGCATAATTATTACAACAAGCACAAAACCTACTCATGCCTAGTTGCAGGAAGCATAAGTATTACAACAAGCACAAAACCTACTCATGCCTAGTTGCATATCTTTCAAACAGCACCAAACTAACAGATAAAACTATTCAAACATCACACATGCTGTCAATCATGAATGTTATAAACACATATAGTCATTACATCAGTACTTACATACCAACAAAACAGTGTTTAGACAAAAACAAACACACCTTAAATAGTTGTTACACCAGTACGTACATACCAACAAAACAATGTTTAGACAAAAACAACACACTACTTAAATAGTTGTTACACATCTTCAACAACAGTCCTTACACAGATAATCACACACACAAGATAAAATTATGCAGACAAATTGTAACAAATGGATAGTTACGAACAAAATTAAATTACTCAAATGGATAGTTACGAACAAAATTAAATTATTCAAACAAATAGTTACAAACAAAATTAAATTACTCAAACAGATGGTTACAAACAAAATTAAACTACTCAAACAGATGGTTACAAACAAAATTAAACTACTCAAACAGATGGTTACAAACAAAATTAAACTACTCAAACAGATGGTTACAAACAAAATTACATTATTCAAACAAATAGTTACAAACAAAATTAAATTACTAAACCATATGGTTACAAACAAAATTAAATTACTCAAACAGATGGTTACAAACAAAATTAAATTACTCAACCATATGATTACAAACAAAATTACATTATTCAAACAAATAGTTACAAACAAAATTAAATTACTCAACCATGTGGTTACAAACAAAAGTACAATCATCAACAGATGGCTACTCAACTTTAATCACACAGTATTTAAACATGATGATAGGAAAACATGTAGGTTCAAGAAATCAGTTTAATGCAAAATACAATACCCTATAACCTGAGTGCTTTAGAAAGTTGGACCTTTCGTCTGGTTATAGGGTATCATATTTTTGTGTTAAACAGTGTTTACACAAATACCTAAAACCAGACAGTGTTTGCTGATATGGTTACACAATTAGTTACAAATGTATAACTATACAACATAGACTGGGATGGTTTCAGCTATACAACCACGCATACAATATTGTATTAACATCAGCAGGTAGTGATATAGAACCACTAATCTGTATTTATTCTTCAAAATATTAACATATGCTCATCTGTCTAATATGTATGTATATAAAAACAATGAGGTCTTATTAAACTGAAGTATAATATTTTTACAGTAGTTTAAGTACTAATAATGTATATTTCAAGCTTCAAAGAAAACCAGAACACTGACTAATTAATATATTTGTGCTTAATATTAAGAGCTATTAATTCTCTGTTAGCCTTTAAGTACCAAATATTTAGGTTTGTTTTAAGAGTATCCTGTTTATAATGTCACATTAGGAAAATTCTGCTTACAACAGCAAATATAAATAACAGTTAAAAATGCAGCCAGACACGATACTGTTTAGGAACACATTAAACTTAAAGATGTCATAACAACTGAAAATATGGAGCCAAAGAGTCCATATACCAGACAAAACTGAATATATGGAGTTAGGAAGTGAAAAATAAGACTCATGTAAAGCACATCATAACTGAAGTTTAACAGTTATAACTTGCAATTCCTTCAAAGGTTTAATTTTCAGAACATTTAATTAATTTTTTTGTTGGAGCTCTTTAACCTCCAAGCTCGGATAAGTTTGATGGCAAAGTACAGTGAGAAAAGGTGTACTTGTGAGCTTAGTGTGATGAATATGTACCAGAGAACTGCCAGTGGATATCCCTGCCATTGCTCCAGGTTCGAACTGTCCCGTGTCTCTGCATATTCCCACATTTCGCTGAAAAAATACACTCCAGCTCCTATAACTGGGCATAATCCAAAGAGGAAGGTTCCAACTGCATAAATCTTTATAGAAGAAAGTTTGTTACGTCGAGCAGCAGAAAGGCCAACAAAAGCAAAAACTATGCCACCTAGCCAGATCCATTCCCAGATGAGTGGCTTGGGGATGTACAGCTCCTCTATCTCCAAGATAAACACGTCCAACCGGTCCAGAACATCCTCTAAGAGTTTGGCACACATCACAAGAAAGAGCAGGGAATGCATAAAGATACAAAACCGCAATCGCTGCTTGTAGAGGGCACTGAAAACCAACAGAAAGTCACAGGTTATTTCCAAGCATCCTCTAAATGATAATCTCAACATTCTACAGTAACCTGACAATTACTTAAAACAGTAGCTTTATGTCACATTTTCATAACTCAAATTATGTAAAACAGTAGCTTTATGTCACATTTTCATAACCCAAGTTACGTAAAGCAGAAGCTTTATGTCACATTTTCATAACCCAAGTTACGTAAAACAGTAGCTTTATGTCACATTTTCATAACCCAAGTTACTTAAAACAGTAGCTTTATGTCACATTTTCATAACCCAAGTTACGTAAAGCAGAAGCTTTATGTCACATTTTCATAACTCAAATTACGTAAAGCAGAAGCTTTATGTCACATTTTCATAACTCAAATTATGTAAAACAGTAGCTTTATGTCACATTTTTATAACCTAAGTTATGTAAAACAGTAGCTTTATGCCCCTTTTCATAACTTAAATTACTTAAACCAAATAAAATATTTGCTTTCTAGTCACTGAACATACTCTTTCAGCCATGGGCTTTTATTATATGATAGTCAATCCCACTATTTGTTGGTAAAGAGTAGTGGGTGGTGTTGATAAGCTGTCTTCCCTCTAGTCTATCATTTTAAAATTATAGATTGATAACACAAATAGCCCTCAAGCAGCTTTGCATGAAATTCAACAAACAAAAAAACAAACTTTTTATTAACCCATTCAACATGTTGATGTCTTTTCCAGCAGTAAAGATAAAAATACAACTAGTTCCTACATGAGTCTTTTACTCTGAAATTCCAAATTTCTATAAACAAATCCCAGGACTTTGTTATGTCCATCAAAGCTACTCAGAAGAAAATATTACATTTTTTTATGAAACATATCTAAGTTCATTTATTTTCCCACAAGACCAAAGTTTCTTTGTTTTGAAATTTTGTTCAAAGGTACCATCCATAATTTTGAACTGTAGACTAGAGGGAAGGCACTAGTCAATAGCACCCACCACCAAATCTTGGGGTGCTCTTGTCTGACAGAATAATGTGATTTTACCACCTCTGTTATACAGTACCCATGGCTCCAAAGTGTAAATCTTTATATTCAACAAAAGGATGCCAATCAGTCCAGGCATGCTAATATCAATGTTACTCTCAAAAAAGAAGCATATCTTTTTGAATTTTCCTCACCCTAAATATACAAGTTCAAACTCCCCACTAGTTAAATTCATTTTTCATATTCTTGCTTAGTCACTAATATTAACCAAGTCTCTTGGAATATCAGAAGATTTTAACAGAATCAGCATGATCCACAATCTCTTTATCATCAGCAAATAATGGTACAATTGTATCAACATACAATAAACAAGACAGAATACAGTTACTACTGATGACTGTTTAATGGTACAATTGTATCAACATACAATAAACAAGACAGAACACACTTACTACTGATGACTGTTTAATGGTACAATTGTATCAACATACAATAAACAAGACAGAACACACTTACTACTGATGAGTGTTTAATGGTACAATTGTATCAACATTCAATAAACAAGACAGAATACAGTTACTACTGACGACTGTTTAATGGTACAATTGTATCAACATACAATGAACAAGACAGAACACACTTACTACTGATGAGTGTTTAATGGTACAATTGTATCAACATTCAATAAACAAGACAGAATACAGTTACAACTGAAGACTGTTTAATGGTAAAATTGTATCAACGTGCAATGAACAAGACAGAACACACTTACTACTGACAATTGTTTAATGGTACAGTACTGTATGATGTACAAGTAGTAGTGAGAGAGAATGAACACACTCTAAACATGTCAATGGACTAATCCAGTCTACTTCCGAGTATGATTATAATGAACATAATCTGTTAGGGAAATTCCAGTCACAATGTGGCCTTTTGCAGCTTTAAAGCATAAGATATAATACAGTCATAAAAGTATGAGACTGAACTCGTATGTTTAAAAAGAATCTGCAGTGGTGTTAAATAATTAAAGTATTCTCAAAGCTTGACACTTTTTACATTTTTGAATTTTTTTTTGCCAGGAAGAGGAGTATCCAGTTTATACCCATATAAAATATGGTAACTCTAAAAATGGCCTACATTCTACTCAACTTTACAAAACATATGTATATATAAATATACGTATAATGTTTTAGGACAACATGGGACTTATTGGTCCATCTTGGCTGTTCCATCCTGTAAACTAAATTAAAATAATTTTAGAAAATAAAAAGCCTTTTCTTAAACTCACTTAAATTTACTGCCTCTACAACATCGAAAGTCATCCCATTCCAAAGGCCAACCACCCTGTTAGAAAAATGAAACTGTCTTAGCTAAAGATGACTCCTACCTTGCCAAAATTTATATTTGTGTCTCCTAGTCCTATTATTCTCACTGTTAAATACGAAAAAAGATTATACATCAACATTATCAATTCCCTTCACAATCTTAAACATCTCAATCAGATCCCCCTTAACTCTTCTTTTTTTTTCAAGAGAAAACTATTTCAGAGATTTCAGCCTCTCCTCGTTTGTCAACCTCTCCATCCCAAGCATCATTCTTGTAAACTTTCTCTGAACCCTTTCCAACAATTCAATGTCTTTCCTAAGGTAAGGAGCCCATGACTGAACTCAGTATTCTAAAAGTGGCCTAACCAGTG